ATGTCCTCCCCAAGATTATGTTGTAAGTGGAAGGGACTTTCAATACCCAGAATTCCACCTATTTCGTCATGGTTCCTGCCTTGACTAGGAGGATTATCTTGCCCACTGGCCACTTTGACATTGAGTTGAATCCGATTAGGGGAGATGCTGCAGGTGCCAGGTCTTTGTCCTCCAGTTTCAGTTGTTTGAAGGTTTTGTAATACATTATCTTACATAAGCTTCCTTGGTTAATCAAAATCCGCTTGATGTCGAAATTCTTGACGTGTAGAGTGACAACCAACGCGTGATTGTGAGGGCAGTATATCCTTGCTAAATCTTTGTCTGAAAAAGATATGACATTTGTGGCCACTGTTCTCCCCTTTTTGATGACAGGTTGTGCACTTAATACCTCCCTTAAGTGCTTAGCCTTTTTGATCATCCCCCTGAGCTCACATACCCACTCAGGTTTGAATATCCCATGTATCACGTTGATTACGCCTTGAGGTGAAGCGTCGACCGGTATCCCGTTTGGGTTGTTGTAGTTTTGGGAGGCTGGCTGTGTCCCTCCTTCTATGTACTGGTCCAGGTGCCCAGCTGCCACTAACTCCTCCAAATGTTGCCTCAACAACGTGCAATTTTCAGTGCGATGCCCCTTTTGTATCATGGAAGGTGCACCGGGACCTCTTGTCATAGTCTTTTTGTGCTTCTCCCAACTTAGCTGGCCATCGGACGAAAGGTTCATTGCGTATCTCACTGAGAATTCAGTAGATTGGTTTTTTGAACACCGTGGTAATGGTAGTGCGAACTCTTAACCTTCTTTTGTCTGGGACCTCTCTGTTGGACCGCCTGCCTCGCCCATCCCTGTTTGGTTGTTCTACCGTGTTGACTTTTGCTGTATTCTTTTTATCTGGTATTGCCGTTGTGTCAGATTTTGCCTTAGCACGGGCGCTATCTTCTTGCACGCGAATATGTTGGTGCACTCTCTCCATTAAGGCCTCCATCGTAAGGGGTGGCGTCATAGTAATTGAGTCCCTCAATTTGTTACTGACTGGCAGGCCTCGTTTGTATTGCGCGATGGCGAGATTTGTGGAGCAATCTCCTATCTGGTTGAAAGTCTCCTAATATCGACTATTGTAGGATCCCAACGTCTCATTGTCGCCTATGTCAATGGAGAGTAGCTGATCGATCTCCACTGGTGTCTTGGTGTTTGTTCGGAACCTAGTCATGAACGCCTCTGGCAATTGTGCCCATGAGGCGATGTTGTCTTCTGTTAGCCTTTCGAACCAGGTTAAACCTAGGTCGCCAAGGCTGGATGGAAACAGGATACACATCAAGGCCTTATTCTGCCGATACACTGCCATAACCTAGCTCAAGTGGCTCAAGTGCATGTAGGGGTCCGTCTTCCCCTCATAAGTAGTAAATTTGGGTTGGTAGAAGCCTGAAGGTAGTGATGCGTTCTCTATTGCCGGAATGAACGACAAGCTCTGTAGCCTTGCTAATACCTTATTCGTTGGTTCGTAAGTAAGACGAGGTATTGGCATCCCTACTTCGACACTCCAATGTGTCCTGGGGGCCAGTCGCTGTAGTGCTGAAACTCTGCGTGGGTCGCGAGCCTTGGTGTCCTCCTTCCATCGGGCCCTTTCGTCAAGTACTGTCCGCAAGTCAGATAATCTAGGCAACTCCGTGTGCCTAGATGTCATCTGGTGCATGTGCGAGGGCCGATAGGTGTTTCCCTCAGTAACCGACCTCTCAGTTTTTGTTCTCTCAGACCTGGAGTGACGAGTCCTAGAGGTCCTCGACTAAGTGTTGCCTGTTCTAAGGCTTCTACTCTCTGCTTGGACTTGCTGCCTGTTACAATCCTCTAAGTGGCGAGATGGCGTGTTGCATTTGCGCCCTTCTCCTGTCGCTACCCCTTTTCCTTTTATTTGGCGCTTCATTGACTCTATGTCCGCTGCCATCCTCCTTATGAACTCGTCTTGTTCCCTAATGCGATCCTTCAGAACCTGGGGGTCCAACCTCCGCCTTTGTCTTTCAGGACTTTGAAAGCGACAGGGGCTGCTGCCCCGTCTTCCCCTTGCATCCCTCCGGGGGTTCTGTCGCTGGGGTTCTAAATCCGCCATGGGTGGGATAGAAGGTAAACCTTCGTGCCTCCCACCCCCCTTTGGGGTTTGTCCGTCGATAGCAGATTGCGACAAATTCTCATTATGCGCCATTGGTTTCAGCTGGAGAGGAAAACTTGATCAACAGGTTTTGTTCTTCCCTGTCTTTTTCATAGACGCGCCAATTGTACGAGCGCAGAATAATCTTCTCGTATAATCTTGTTGATCAAGTTTGAGCTCCTCCAAACGTCGTTGCTTTATTCCCTGAAAACACAAACGTGAGTTAGCCGGCGGGTGTGTGCCGGATACCTTTCCGATGCCTAAGTCAGCAGAATAGACAAAAAACTCTGTGTATTCAAAAATCAAAGTTGTGTTACCTCTACATAGGTTATGTTGTGAGCTTTTATAATTTTTGATTGGCACAATCCTAGTAGGACTCTTATCCCTCAATGTAGAGTCTTCCTAGGAATCACACTCTTGAAAGATAATATTTATCCTTCAACACCTCCTTCACTGCTTAAACCAAGTGAGATGGTTTTACCTCGGTTGGATGACAGTATGACCGAGCTAACACTAGCCCTTTGTCATACTTAATCCAGTACCTTCACATGCAACACATAGCTCGGCTCTTTGTTCACTTGTACCTTAGTTTTGTCTGTTGAGACCGAGCTAATTACAGCAAGCTTTGACCGAGCTAACAAGAGCAAGGTTCACCATAAGAAGCCCAAATACCTTGGCTTCGAATACTATGACCGAGCTAATTATCACCACTCCGATCGTGGTGACTGTAACCATATTTGAACCGAGCTAACACTAAGGTCCACTCGCTAAGCCCTTTCTACCATGGCCCATAGAACGGCCTATTACTACGCCTGGGCCTAGCTCGGCCCTAATGCTCATAAAAACTCCCTCTCAGTAATTTATATAAAATTTTAATTCAATATATATATTTTTTATATTTACGTGTTGCCAAAGTGACATTTTCAATTTTAAATTAGACGGAAATTCATTTTGAGAGTAAATTTGAAAAAATTATGATGTCAAGGACTAAAGTGTAAAAAAAATTCTTAATAGTAGGGTTGTCTGGTTCTTAAGCTGGATAAGGTTTTTTTTTTTTTTTTGTTAATTTTTGATTTTCTACTTGTGTTTTAGGCCAAGTTTGGCATGTGGCTAAAAAGTCAAAAAGTTAAAAAGTTACTCAAAAACTTAAAAAGTTATCACTATTTACCAAAAGTCAAAATGTACGATTACACAACTCTCAATCATAATTTTCCCTTACACACTAATTTATACAATTTTTTAATACACATTTTTTCATAAAAAGTCAAAAAGTTAACCCAAACAACCATATTTTTTTCCTCAACTTTTTAGTCCAAAAAGTTAAAAAGTGCACTTATTTAGAACATCCCAAACAACCCCTTAGTTTTGACTATTGATTTTGTAAAATTTCAAACTAAAATCCAATAAAAGAACTAAAAAATCCAATTTCAGTTTTAAAAAAAAAAATCAGTAAAAAAGGTTTAGTCAAACAGGACAAAAAAAGAAAAGAAATTAAGTGATTTATCAAAAAAGGAAAATGAAATAAATAATAATATCCTATGGTTTACTAGTTAATGAAAGAAAAATTATTAAATCAACACATTTGGCCTAGTGGTTGTGCAGCGTCATTTGTGGTGTGAGGTATCGAGTTCAAATTTTTTTGGTTAGAGAGGTAAGAAAAACCGATCAAATCGATTGAATTGGACCAAACCAACTATATTTGGTCTATTTTTTAATAAGAATCGGTCTATACGGTTTTTAAATTTAATTTTTTTTTGGTTTTTGATTTTCGGTTCAGTATCAGTTCAAGCCTCTTATGCATAGAACTAAACCGAAACTAACCGCTTCAACATATATTGTATTTATCATATATTCTTGATTAATTAACCTTATCATCGTTACAATCTAAGTTTGTAAACTCTTATTATATATAATCTTAACTCTAACTCATTATTTTTAAAACTTTAGTATTTTTTAACATTTTTTATTTTTATTTTTAATTTCGTTCATCTAGAAATTGAAAAGTATTTATTAAGTAAATGGATTGAATATGTTTAAAATGATAGACAAATAATTAAATTAATATTTTTATATAGATTAGTGATTATATTTAAAAGTGACTTAAGTTTGAAAGGTCCTAAACTAATAAAATTGCATCAAACCAAACTGTTTCAATCGGTTCAGTTCAGTATAGTTTAATGGGAAAAGCTATTTGTATTAGTGTTCAAAATAATAAAATCAACATTATTGATTTGGTGAAATTTTTTACCTAAATACTGACCGTACCGAACGGATTACATCTCTATTTACGGTGATGTTTATTTCTTCCCCATTTTGAGGGTTATTTGTGATTAGTAGTTGTTAGATTTGGGCTTGGGCTTGGGCTTGGGCTTGGTGGACTTAGTTTATTGTTAACATAAACTAAATTAATCCTACTGATTAGAAATAATCAAGAATATGAAAAAAGTAAACAAGGACATCATTTATTTCGAAACCCTCATGAGCAAGATTGTGATTAATTTCTCAATATACATTTTTAATAGCTGTGAGGCTGAATTGGTTTAAGAGATAACTGTAATCACAAATGAGATTACTATGCAGTGCTGTAAAAGTAATCTAGTGAAACTGTTACGGTTACATATACTTAATAATAGATTTGGCCATGTAAATATAAACTTGGCCAGCCCCCAAGCACAAATTTAGTATCATAGGTTAATATACTTTAAATACTTGATCATACGTCAAAACAGACAAATGAGTGAAACCGTCATAGAGTGAAAATCTATCATTTGATCAGTGTCGATGAAGATATTTAGACCATAGTTCTACCAAAGGTCTGTGTCATAAACCTTCAATACTCTTCACAAGGGACATACAGACCACTTAAAAATAAGAAGCAAATATATACATTAAAACCAGTTAAAAATCATTGTGTACATGCACAAAAATAGAATGGGTAATGAATGTGAACGAAATAATTTACTCGAGGTCTTAGACCTCAAGATAAGAAGGAAAGATATATAAAAACCACTTAAACTCCATTGTTCAAAGTACAAAAATAGATTTGGAAATGAAGGCTATAGTCATAATGCAAAGCACATGCAATCTCTAGACAGATATTGAATTGCAAGGAGACGACAAGAGGGGGGGAAAAATAATTAGAGAGTTCCCCACAAAAATGCAACATTGCGCTTCGCCATTCCCATGTTGAATATTTGAATTTCACCTCTCTAGATCAATCCTCCGAAGTGCTCACCTGGAGACAAATATTCAGAACACAAATCAGAAAAATACACAGCATGAACTACTAACAATTGTTGAATCCATGTATAGATTAGATTATATGGCATCTGAGCCGAACCTATGTGTATAATTAATTAGATGCTACAGTCTAGTAATGTGTCCCAGCATAAAAAGTACTTGCGTTGTCATTTACAAGGAAGTAACATTAATACTTTGATGTTTCTTAGTATACAGCAACCAAGCTCAAATTGTTCTAGCTAGACAAGCTACAGATGAAGGTAACTTGAATTGCACCAGGTTGTGCATTACAACAGCTGCCACAACAAGAAATAGCATTTTTACATGACAGTTTTCGCAACTTTTTCTCTTTTGGCAATGATTTTTTCCTTCGCTAAAAGTGCAGTTTCTTGTAGTGTCCCACGTACTGTTTGTTATTATAATCCTATGAAGCACCGACATGTTCCCAGGCTCTGCGTACGAGTGTCAGACACGCGTCGGACACGGACACGCATCGGACACGCGGTAGACACGTGTCCGACACTCTCTCTAACGTGTCTCCTTTTTTTTTTTTTGAAATCTTCCAGTTGGACACGCCATGGACACGGCGGGACACTTTTCGGACGCTCGTGAGGTGGATCGAAGAAGCCCTAATTGTTTTCCTTGATCGACAGAGAAAGAGAGAAAGGGATCAAGGGTGACAGAGAAAGAGAGAGATCAAAGGAGGAGAGAAGACAGAGAAAGAGAGAGAGAGAAAGAGATCGAGGGAGAGGAGAAGCCTAACCTGTTCAGATCAATCCAAGAAGCTGAAGCTGAGGTATTCTTCTTCTTCTTCTTCTCTTCTTCTCCTTCTTCTCTTCGTTTTCGTCTACTCTGTCTCCATCATCTCTGTTCTTCTTCTCCTCTTCACTTTCTTCCTTTCCTCCTCCCTTTCGTCTCTCCCTTTTCTGACTCTCTCCCTTTGTTTTTTGACTTCACTCTCTCTCTCCTCTATCGTTTCTTTTTTATATTTTTTTTCTTGATTCAACGTTTCTCTCTCCCCCTCTTTTTTTTTCTTTTTTCTTTTTTCTTTATCCTTATTTTTATGTTAAACTTAAAATTCATAAAATAAATTATTTTTATTTAAAAAAACTCATTTTTTATTAATTTTTTTAAAATATATATTTATTAATTTTATTATTATTTTGATTATATAAGAATTAATGATTTTATTTTTATTTTAGATATATAATAAATAAATAAAATTATATATATTAAACGTGCCCCCAGCGTGTCGTGTCCCCTATTTTTTGAAAAATTGCGTTTTCACGTGTCCGTATCGTGTCCCGTGTCCGTATCCGTGCTACATAGTTATAATCCCATTTACCAGCTTTGAATAAAGCATTCTTGAACTATGCTGCTAATCATCTGTTCAATTATTTAATATACTAATGGAAGTTCCATGTTCTATGTTACATCTATGTGTGTCTGAGCAAGATAAGTTGTCATGGAACTTAAACTTTTGCATACCTCGGCAGCTCTGTTCATTTGATTAATGTATAGTAGGACTTCCTTCTTTGACCTACAGCATCGGTCTCCTGGTCCCAAATAATACTGCACAACAAATTAAACAATTGGCAGAATAGCTGCTAAGTATTACTAGCCATAAACAATCCATATGGTATGAAAATTTAAATTCCAAGATAAAACTGATCAAAGAATGGAATAAATGACTAACAAAAAGTAACAGATATCCTTTGTGTATGGTAGTACCACTTGAAAGGAAGTCCTACTACCTTCCAAGGAGCATAAAGTTAAATCGACTTTCAATATGACCATAAATTCTTATCCATGTAGAATTATATCAATAATAGTTAGAAATCTTTCAGAGTCTCTATAATAAAACTAGAGTTTAGTGTAATTTCGTGAGACATGCTTTACCATTCACAAATAAAAAGATTTTTTCTTCTTTCTCTGATTTCATTTGTTAGTTAATGAATTTCATGATAATTGGTTCAGTTTTTGGAAAATGAAAGTCATGATTAATGATAAACTACCAGTTGTGCTCTTGTGCGCATGGGTATATTCACTAACAAATGTAGCTTAATACATTTCACTAGCAAAAAAGGAGGTTAAGTACATTCAATTTTGTAGCCAAATTGGAATCCATTAGTGGCGAACGTCAATCCATTGGGAAAAAGTCACCTCTAAGTATGCTACGGTGCAAAGTTAATCACACCACCACCATTTTGCAGTAAAATTATATCTCACCCACATTATCAATACAAGCAAAGAGTAAACTGAGATTTAGGGTTATGACATTATGGCAGAAGCAGTCTCTCTAAATTTTTTTTTAAGGTCAAAGTCTCTCTAAGTCCATGTGGCTATTGCATACAACATATTGTAGATGCTTTCTACTAAGAGCAAAAGGACCGCAATCATTCACCAAACTCTAAATTAAGACAAAAAAGATACACAACTAAATGAAGACACCAGAAAAAATGAACTTACAGAACAGAGGAAAAGAACAAGAAAATAAGAACTTTTGAATCCCACCAGGGACACTATATGGACAGACATTGCTTCTTTTACATAGCTGAAGACTTTTCATAGATATACTTGTTGACATCAACAATCCAACACAAACTATTTCATTTTGTATTCATTAGCAGTCTTTGTTTTGATAGTATCTGTTAATTAATTGGATTCTCTTGGGGTGTCAGTTAGCGTTAGGTTAATTTGTGTCAATTAGGGTTAGGTTAATTTGCAGGTTTCCTGGCGCCACGAGAGATGAGCATGATTGTCATAAGCCTACCCTGCCTGTTTACATGTATATAATTATAATTACATATCATAAAGACATTCTTTTACACTCAGTTTGGATTGAGAGATGAGAAAAGAAAAGAAATGATTGTAATTTCTCACTTAAGTGAGAAAATAAATGAAATGATTGTGGTTTCTCACTTTTTTGTTTGGATGAACAATGAATAAAAGAAGATACATGTATCTTTTTATTTTATTTGCTTTGTATTTAGAGGGGCAGTTTAGGTGTTACCATTTTTTTGTAAAGAGTAAATTTGGTTTTTCACCAAATCACACCACTTTTGGTGAGAAACAAAATGTAAGTTCTGAGGGGTTTGTCTTTCTCACCATTTTTCACCTCATTAATCATCCAAACAAGTGATGAGAAATCTCATTCTCTCTTTTTCTTTTATTTTCTCACCAAACCCCTCAATCCAAACAGAGTGTTAGATACCAGCTCTCCATCTCTAATTTATTTATTTATTTATTTTCACACCCTTTCTTTCCCTTTTTGCTATAATCTATATAATCCAATGACAAAGGATTTCCAGAGAAGTCAGAAAGAAACTTCCATTCCCAATATATATAGTACTGCATAAGTAAACCTAGATCTACCTATACTCAAAAGAATTGGTAAAGTAGCTCACATCATTAACTTTTTATTCTGATTCCATTTTGGAACCTATTAACCTAAGAGCGGAATGTTTCAAGGAAATAGAAAATTTAAGAACAAACAGAAAATACTATTCAGGTATAATAGAACAGCAAATCAGTTTAAATACTTAAGAAATATTGCAAGGTCAAGTGAACCCTACCCTAACCACTAAAGGTACTGCAGGCAGAAGATATGATGATCATTGAAACACAGAGACTTAAATAGAACAGATAAAATGAAATAGAATCACTTTTTTCTTAAACAAAAGAATGGAAAGATTTTGCGGCTTTGCTTAAATTCATGTACATCCCATAAGCACTTAAAGATTAGGGTTACCTTATCTACATTTCCAGCGGATCTGCCATATTTCCGCACTTTTGTGATCATTTTCCAGCCATGTGGCAGCCAATCTTCGGCATCGATTCCCAGCTGCCTCCGGTGTCTCCCACATCGTGTTGGGCCTGAAGGTTCTTGTGCTGGCGATCTCACAGTAGGAGTCTGGTCAGGCACTTGCAGATTTCCAGTACCTGAATTATCAACCTCATTGCGTTCTTCAGGACCTAGATTCAGAGCAGATTGAGCCTCGTTAGGGTCATCTTGTGCTTCAGTTTGCTTTTCATTTTTTCCCTGCTTCAACTTAGCTCTCAAGGCTTCGAGCCTTGTGTCATCTGATATGTCAGGGCAAATAGGTGTGCAGACAATAAAATCAGATAGATTATATTCGTCAGCCATTGTTGGAGAGAGAGGGTGGGGTGCACAGGTTTTCTCTGTCTTTATACAATCCATATTGAGAGACAAGTGATATATATAACTCAGGATAATCTAGCTGTTGGATTATGCTATCAAGAGAAGGTTTAATTTTGATGTCCGAATTAGGAAAACCCTCTACAAACGGACATGATGTAAATATTGAACAAGTTCCAAAAGAAAGATTTTATCATCACTGACTATTGCAAATGTAAATGACTTACCAAACATAACAAAGTAAAATTCAAAAAAGACTTAAAAATGCAGAGATAATCCTTGAAGCATGATTTTGTGTTTTAATGAAATTCAAATTGCAGGGCCACACAATGGGCCGGGTTCTAGGATTTACAGTATGTGGTATTCTTAGTTGTCATCATTTATTATATGTGCTAAGCTGTATTAATTGCACAACTAAATAACGTAGCATAGTTGTAACTCTTAAGAAAATTGCCGACACATTTCACCGTAACGGCCAGCCATCACATTTCCAGCGTGAAGGCACTAATCAAAGAATGTGATGCTTTGGGGATTAGCTGGTATTCCTGGGCAAAGGAAGAAGCCACGAGAAGGATATATTTCATCTTTTTCAATGCAACTATGCATATATTAACCTCACCATGGAGAAATACATGTGTGTGTGCGTATATATATTCGGTGATTATAATTTGAATGTTTTAGTAGCTACAAGAAAGAAATATCGTTAAGGAATCCATGCTTTATCTTTTTGTATTCAAAATTGTAGTGTTAAGTTCTAGTTGTCATTACAACGTAAGAAACTTTAATTTGTCGGATTTTAGTCATTATTAATTTGTCTTGACTCGAATAATATTAAGAGATCGAGTTATTGAGTTCTCAAATTCAATATCCCAAGTTTAGTTATCTACTAATTTTAGCACCGACATAAATTCATCCATAAATTTTTAGTTATTCCAAACATCAATGTAGATATTAGTAAATGAGCTCTATTTGAGGTGGCGCTGTGATTTTAAAGGCTAGCAAAATTTTGAATCCCATAAGACCATAACAATTCGGCCATTTTAAGAAACAAAGTTGCATTAATATGAGTGTTAATTTCTTAAGTTCTTTACCCACACACATAGAATATATTCTAATTTTAAAGTGAAATATGTCTTAAAAAATTTAGCCAAATAAACCATTTACATGCTAAGATGAGTTCATAATCTTCTTATCAGTGAAATAAAAATGTCACACCAAAAATAGAGTCCTAATTCCTAAAGCTTGTTCATGAATAAACAGAAACTACAGATTAGAGCTCATTAAAGCTCGATTCTTGTCCCCATCGTGCAATGTGAAATTCATATTTGCTTTCTAAAATATTGTGTTTTTGTCATCACAATTATGTAAACCATCTCAACTGGAAAATTAATGTCCAGTTGTGCTAAGGTAAATATTGCCATGATCTTATCTTTAGATTTTAGAAAACCTTTAATATTTTAGCCAAATTTTTGCTTTTGAGATGTACTTAATCTATATAGATCTAAAAAGAAAATTATATGCGAAGAAATCTCAAAAGAATCACAAAATCCAAAAAAATTTCAAAACAGTCAACACAGTCTCATGTTTTTCTCTTTAATGTACTTTTTTTTTTCAGATTTTTCACATATATTTTACTTTTCAAGTGTATTTAAAAAGTACAGAAAAATTGATTTAAAGAAAGACAACACAAGGGGGGAAAAAAATAAAAAAAATGTTTTTAAAAACCAAACCAAACAAAGTGAGTGTTTTACAATTTTCAGTCACCATTTCAAGATTCCATTTTAAATTTGCTCTAAAATGTTTCTTTTAGTGCCATTTGCTAATCCTAATGAAAAGCACAAGTGAACATGACTTCATCGAAATAAAGCTCTTAACAAGTATTTGGCAGTCAGCTTCATGTAAAAGGATAACACTGTTGACACTCCATTTTAGTTACTGGAATTTTTGAGAGCTGAAAGTTTCAGCAAACAATGGAAGTCAGCAACACAAGTGTTAAAAGCCTATTGCTTTGTCTATTGAATTAAAGCCAGATCTAATTCAAAATTAGCACTAGATAGCATATCATATTTATCAAGACTCACATGGATTTTGCTTATTTATTGGATTTTCTTCATTTCCATAATGCAATGGGTCAGGCCCTACCAGGTCATGGATCTTTTGGGCTATTGGAATTATTGTGGCACTAGGAGATTTGAGCAAGCATGGACACTAGACCCTCTTAGCCCTACATAGTGTAAACTGAGGGAGAGAAATAGAACCTTTGAAAATGTTGAGTTGCAATACTACACGAGTCCCTCATGCTCAATTCCTTTTAATTTTGGTTGTTATGAAACACTCCTGGGTTGTTTTTCTCTTTTGCAGATTTCATAGAAGATTAATCTTTGAGTAGCTCCTGCACATAACAAGTCCATATGTGTCATTTTTGAGGTTTAGATGTATATATATTTTCACCTCTTTCAAAAAATAAAAGAATCATATTAGTCAAATTCAAGATAGCAGCTATTAACATAATTTATTTTCAAGTAGATACATCTCTAGTAACTGCTGTTGATACTTTGTTTATATTGTATAGAAAAGTAGCAAACTAAAAATAATGATTGAAGTTAACAAAGCAGTGCATGAGGCGTATCTATGAAGCATGGGTATGGGTATGACATGGGTATATTGATACGGTAAAATTCAAAAAAAATAGGGTATAGGTACGGCTTGGTACGTTTGTAAGGAAATTATTTTTAATTTGAAATAATGCAAAAATTGAATAAATGGTATAATTTGTTAAGATCCAATCTACAATTAACATTTAATTCCAAAAGTAAAGGTATAAACTAAAATTAAATGCTATTATATTAAATAACTTACAAACTATAGCTTAATTTTAAAATCATGCTAAATATAAAACTAAAAATAAAAAAGAAAAAAGAAGTGTAGTGAAAAGATTTTTATCTTTGTAACAGAAGAAAATATTATTTCGACTGAGGTACGGTACGATACGGCTTGAGTATATGCTACGTACGTTTGGGTACCCCAAAAATTAAGAAGAAAATTTTTGAGTACGTGTTTCGTATATGTACGTATGTAGAAGTACCATATGAAGTATCATATGCCAGTAAGTACCTGGTACGGGTACAACATGTTTTTCGAAATTCTCATGCTTCATAGAGGGGTACATAAAGCTTACTGAGAAATGGAGCAGTTCTAACCACTTTCAAGTGTATCCATGCTAAGACAGCCGCTAATATCATCTGTCTTGCTGATAAAAAAAAACATCATCTATGTCTCTAACTTTCTTATGTGTTTCTTATATATACAATTCTACTTAAAAAGTGTTTCCAAAACATCTATTTATCAATAAATTTAGTTTTAGAAATCAGATTGTAGATAGAATCCAATGGTTTTAAACCCGACTCTATCATATCATTTACAAGAATTTCAGCCTCTTTCCACTTCCCATCCTTGCAAAGAACTTTAGTCAAACTGTAGCTTGCTACATTTGGAACCATTCCATTCTCACCCATTTCTTTGAGCAGTCATAGGGCCCTATAGGAGTTACCCTCTTTGTGGTACCCATAAGTCATCATGTTGTATATTACATGGGTTTGGCTCCAAACGCATCTCACTCATTGATCTGAAAAGTCTTGATGCTTCTTTCATGTTACCTTTTCTACACCACCCACTTATCAAAGACACCATAGGTGCAAACATTTGCCTCCAAACCAGCCTTCTGCATGGAGTGATATATTTCGAATGCCTTTTCCATGTCATCCCATCCAATAAAAGCATCAATTAGAATTGTATATGTTGTCTTTGTTGGAGAAATTCCTCTCCCCTCCATCTCCAAAATTAAGCTTGAAGCTCATGCTAGATTTCCCGCTCTAGAGAAACCTTCAATTAGAACATTATAGGTGGTCAAAGATGGTGACAAACCACTGGACTTCATTTCATTGAACAAATTTGCCACCTTGTCTAGCTTGCCAACCTATGTTACTTGGAACGCAGATCATTCCGGTACGTGAAACGGGAACGGAAACGTGGTATGCCACATGCTCTAAAATGTGGCACGATAGGGGTAGCCTTGTATATATTATATTTGATTTTTTTTCCTCCTAAAGTAACATTTAAGGACATTTATTGAAAAAAACTTTTGGGATCGCTTTGGATCACTAAATTTACGGTTTTGGAATGGAAGTGTACCATGTTTCGGAACGTGCACAATAATATGTAATTCACTAGGGTATTAGTGTTTTCTGGTATCATAGTTCCCAACACTACAAAACCCGTCTATTAGAGTGTTGTAAGTGATCACATTTGGACTCAAACCAGCCCTCTCCATCTGACCCACCAAATTCTCAGCCTCCAACACCATCTCTTGACACAACCCACCTACTAAAGTGTTACACTTCACTATATTACACACAATCCCTCTTTCTTTTAGGTACATTGGAAATTCAACGAACAACATAGGCCTAAGCCCTTTCCCTAGATCTGCTTATGATGTCTACTACAAGCAGACTCCTAATTTCCGCTAGTGTTCATTAACCACCAGGATATCCTCTGGTTGTTCAGCTCCAAGCTTTGCCAGTGCACCTGCACAAAGATTTCCTTCCTTCAAAACAAGTTGCACAGTGTATTCGCATCCTGGCATAATGATCTTGGCATCTTCTATTAGGCCTTTGTATGGTAAGTTTGTCTCTGTCTCCTCTTCCAAAAGCTTCACAGCTTGCATGGCATCTGTTAAAATTCAATGTATAAAGAGAATTGTATTATTGATTGATATAATGTTATATTTATTACAATGATTCATGATTCCTATACATAGAAGAGGGTGAGTGTGTAGTAGGTAAGGAGTAGGTGAAGTGGAGGTGGTAGTGGTGTAGTGGGTTAGGTTTAGTGGAGTAGGTGAGGTGGTAGTGGTGTAGTGGGTTAGGTTTAGTGGAGTAGGTTTAAGTGGGTGAAGTAGGTGATAGGTTTTAACAGCATCAGTCTCGATGATTACTTTGTTCATACCCCTTTGTAGCAGCACGATTAAACCTTTGTATATTGCCCATAACTCATTTTCAAGGCTTGTTCCATCCTGGAGTCTTCCATAATATCCAAACACCCATGCTCCAGCTACATCTCCGAATAATCCACCAAATCCTCCTTCTCCTCCTAGCTTTCTGCAACCATCTGTATTCAGTTTAATTCTACCTGCTGGAGGCAAAGACCACTTGATTAGTTTGAAAGTTGGTCTAGGATTGACAATGGTTATGTTAAAAGCTTGGTGAATCTCATTAGAATAATCTAGGATAAATTTCACACTATCATGGTTACTAGTCTGTTTATTCAAAAATCTTGGATTTTCTGTTTTTCCAATTTTTCTATAGGCACACAACAAAAGCATTGCACCAAGTGAGATGTTCATTGAAATGTTTTTTTGTTTCTAGAATTAAAAGTAAGCTAATCCAGCCAAGATTTTTGTAACATTTCCAAATACCATTTTCTTCCAAAATAGCTAACCAAACAGCTTTGGCTTTGTAGCAGGTTCTAAAAGATGATTCATATCTTCCACCTCATTGCAGCTCAGGCACAAAGGGTCTGAGGTCAGACCCTTTTTTTCCCTTGACTGGTTTGTTAAGAGTTTACCATGAAGGGCAGTCCACAGAAAACTTTTAAGTTTCTGAGGTAATCTCAATTTCCACAACCAATTCCAGTCCTCCTCAATGCTTAGATTACCAGAAATGATGTTATAGGCACTTGAGGTAGTGAACACTCCATCAGAAGAACCCCTCCCTGTACGTGTATCCATATCTGCAGTGGGTGGGCGGGGTAGCTTGTGGATGAGAGTTGAAATATTAGGGGAGAATATCTCATTCATCTTCACCACATCCCAATTTCCTTGCTCATTGATGATATTGTTCACAGTGAGACCATCACTCTTATTATGATTAGACTGTTGTGTATCAGATACAAGGTCCACTAAGGGCTTGTTTCCACACCACCAGTCCTTCCACACATCCACATTCTTTCCATTACCAATCTCGCATTTCACACCTTTTCTCAAGGTTTCCCTGGACTTCAAAATGCCTCTCCACACATGGGAGGCAGGCCTACCTTTAGGCCAGTCATGTAAGGAAGTTGTCTTAAGATATTTGTTCTTAAGAACATCTTTCCACAAGCCCTCCTCACAAATCAGATGCCAACCCAACTTGGTTAAGAGGGCCAGGTTCTGATTCCTGGCCTTTTTAATGCCACTCCATACTTTTTCCACTTGCAAACCTCATCCCACTTAACCAAATGCATTCTTTTCTTTTCCAGGGTATCACCCCAGAGGAAATTCCTGTTAATTCTATCAATATCCTTGCACAGTTTAATAGGCAATTCCATAGTTTGCATTGCGTAAGTGGGTAAAGCAGAACTCACAGACTGAATGAGGGTTGTTCTCCCTGCCAGGGAAAACAAACTGGTTTTTCCGACCAGCTAGCTTTCTTTGCATTTTCTCAAGGATTGTATTGAAATGCCCTCTATTCACTCTCCCATGAATAAGGGGCAGTCCTAGGTATTTCCCAAACTCAGAAGTCAGTGGAATACCACATTTGGAGCTCAATTCTCTAGCCTTTCTCCTATCAATGTTAGGGAGACATACAATTTGGACTTATGGGCATTGATCTTCAAACTAGAAACATCACAAAACTAATTCATGACATTCATGATTGTGTTACAATTAATCACGTCTGCCTTAGCAAATAGCATTAGATCATCAGCAAAAAATAAATGGGTCAAGCATGGTCCTCCCCTAGCAACTTGTATGCCTTTCCACTCTCTATTTTCAGCGTTAGATCTGATCATGTTAGATAACCTCTCCAAGCACAAAACAAACAGATAGGGGGAGAAGGGGTCTCCCTATCTCAACCCCCTTCTAGGCTTAAATTCCTGAAGAGGTTCACAATTCCAAAGAATAACAGTAGTAACGGAAGTAACGCAACACATCACCAGTTCAATTAATTTAGTGTCAAAATTAAACTCTTTCAAAGTTTTTTCCAGGAATTCCCAAGAAATATTGTCATAAGTTTTTTCCAAATCAGTTTTCAGAATCATTCCCCCAACTCCACCTTTCTTATGGTTCAAGGTATGAATGGTTTCTTGGGTGATGATAATGTTGCCACTAGTGGATCTACCAGGCACAAAACTGCATTGATTAAGGCTGACAATTTTATTCAAGAGAGGTCGGATTCTACCAACGATGATTTTGGATATAATTTTATAGGACACATTGCAAAGGCTAATGGGTCTGAACTGTTTGATGCTCTCAGGGTTTTCAATTTTAGGAATAAGGGCAACTAAAGTTTTATTGATTTCAAGTGGAAAGCAATTGTTAGCAAAACAGTTTTTAACAAACTCACAAACAGTAGTGCCAATAGTATTCCAATAAGTATGGTAAAACATAGCTTGAAATCCATCTCTTCCAGGGGCTTCATAGCCCTCCAGATTTCATCACTAGAAACCTCCTTGGTCAACTCAACATTATCCTCTTGGATAATCAAATTAGGAGTTAAATTATTCCAATGATCAAGAGATACCATAGGAGTGTAACTAAAAAGATTCACAAAATAATCAAGAATTAGAGATTTCAACTCTTCAGCATAATCAATCCACATACCACTATCATTCTTGAGGGTCTCAATCTTAGTTGCACGAAGCGGGAGCGGGAGCGGGAGCGGGGGCGGGAGCGGGGAAACGTGGCCACTTAGAGGAGTCGTAAATTAGGAGCGTTTATATATTATTTTTATTAATTATATTTTATTTATTATAATAAATAATGAATAATAAATTATGTTCAAATAAATAAAAAATAAAAATTAGATCTTTTATTTTATAAATTTTTTAACTTTTTTTTTATTATATATGATTTAAATAGATTTCTTTTAAATAATTAGATGATTTATTTTATTTATTATATGTTAAAAAGTTAGGAATAATAAATTTTAATAAATAATTTTTTATTTTAGACAGAAGAATTATATTATCTATGACAAATTATATTATATATGATAAATATTATATATATTAAATATAATATATTATATTATATTATATATATATGATATATTATATTTATATTATATAATATAAAACGGAGAGGGAGAGGGAGGGAGAACAGAGATCGAGAGAGAGAGAGAGATGGAGAACAGAGACGAGAGAGGGAGACGAACAACGAGACGAAGCAAACAGAGACGAGAGAGGGAGACGAAGAGAGAGACGAAGCAAACAGAGGCGAAGAGAGACGAAGAGGATATCGAGACTGAGAGAAGAGAGAGCGACAAAGACAGTCGAGATCGACCGTGAGAGGTCTCAGCCCTAATCGCGATTCTTTCGCATTAGAAGCGCGATTCTCTCGTATTAGAAGCGCGATTCTTGTGCGATTCTTCCTTGGAAGCGCAAAATCGCGCTTCTTCCTCAGAAGCGTGAGTCCCTTCCACGATTCCTGCTACTAAGGTCTCAATTATGCACTTCCTCTTTTTAGTCAAGGTAGATAGATGGAAGAATTTGTTATTTTTATCCCCCTAGGTAATCCAGTTAGATCTGGATTTTTGAAACTTCTGAAACCATAAAAGTTCTTGACAAAGAATTTTGTTGTATTGCTCAATAAGATTCAGCTCAAGCAGATGGAGGTTGTGGGAATAATTGGAAATTTGGGATTTTTGGATTCCTTCGACCCTCCCAAGTAACCACCTCTTATTCCTGAAGATGTTCCCAAAAGTCTCTTTGTCCCACACACTAGCTTTAAAGGCTAGATTCTCAAGTTTATCCGCAAGAGAGGAAGGGGAATCCTCCTAATTCTTATCCACAACAGATTGGAACTCCTCATGAGAGATCCAAGCAGTAACAAATTTAAAAGATTTAGAACTAAGATTAGGAGGGGACTTACCTTGGGTGAAAATCTTCATAGACGAATGATCTGAGTAGGTTCGAGGGAAATTTTGAACAAGACCTTTAGGGAAGTTGGTCCTCCATTCTGTGTTGCACATTGCTCTATCCAACCTTACCATAGCATTTTCCCAACCTTTTATGTTATTTGTCCAAGTCAGTCTGGGACCTATGTGTTGAATATAGAAATTAGAATATATAAAATCTTTTTATTTTTAATATTATGTATATAAAACTCACGTGTATTTCCCCCTTGATGCCATAATTGTGTTGATGTCAATCTTTAATGGAACTCCCAGGGCCTCAGCAATATGATAGAGTGCTTTCTCATTGTAGTACTCTATGGGTAGATTTGGAAATCGCACCCATAGAGCTGTGGTATCTTCTTCAGCGTCGTCTGATTTGAAATCTTGCTGCCATTTCCTCACCGTCGCATAGTGATCCATGGCTATCCATGGTCCCCCAGTGAAGACTTTAGTATAATCCTATATCATGTCAAATTTCACAATGAAAAATCCGTTGCCGATATCTATTGCTTCAAAATTAGCTTGGAGGCCCTAAATTCGCGTCATTTTCATCATGAAGAGTTCGCACCCTATATTTTTCCTCACTAGTCTAACTATCAAACACTTCTTCCATGGTTCTCTGATTTTTTTCAACCGGGCTTGTGGAATCTTGGCTCTAGCGATGCCCCCATTGTCTTTTTCTACACCATCTTCGTTATCCTCTTGTTCTTTATTAGTTGCCAGATCTTTTTTGTAGCACCCTAATTTTCATGCCCAAATGATAATACATTTACTTCAAATCAAAATAACATAAACAAATAAATACCCTCATGGGTTTACAAGTTTCCAAGGCTAAGGCCCGGTTACACAAATCGGTTATTCAAACCCACACAAATATAGCCCTTGGCTTACAAAACAGAGTCACCTAAAATGAGAGCATTGTACTCCCAACACACACATTTTCACGCCTTCAGTTAGGTGGAATCACCACTCATTTTCCTGCACAAAAATCCCGTAGGGTGAGCATAAAGCCCAGTAGAGAATTCTTAACAAAAGTATACACATTTTACACAAGTCTCAAGAGATGGAATACTTATGCCATGCCAGGCCTTTTTAAAAGTAAAACACACCTTCATCTTTTGAAAACCAACATGCTCAATGATGTCATGCCATTTCAACTGCTCAACATTTATCAAATTTTATTTGAGGGGCGGTAAATATAACTCTAGTAATCCCTAGGTCAGTGTCTGCAAGTAGACTATACAAGAACTACCAAATTGTCATTTTTACCAGTATCAACTGGAAGGCTTGACACCCATAATCTGTCATTTTTACCAGTATTGACAGGAAGGCTTGACACCTATTCTCCACACTACCTTTCAAGACTTACAACTGTATTTACCCCAAAACTATGTCATGAAAAGTTGTTTCTCAACATTTCTTTCTCAATGCAAGTTTTCAAATCAACTTTCAAAGTTCAATGTAATCAAATGAAATGATATGCCAATGCAATGATTAATACTACAATGCAATATTTCTTTCACTTTCAATACTCCCACACAATATTCTCATTGTGATCAAAATTCTCATTTCTCACTTCAATGCAATTTCACAAGATAAATAAATACTTTTTATTACAATTCATCCAAGAGATAACAAAATTCCTGCATTTCAAACATTTCCCAAAACTTCAATAATTATCTTATTCCATGGAAAACCATCATTTATATGTAATAAATAAACAATTTTCAAACATCATTTATTTTGGCACAAAAAATAAATATAACAACGTATTCTAAAGATTTTTAACATATCTCTTAAAAATTCCCAATTTTTAGGTTTTCTCACCAAAAACCATTCATCTTCAAATATTTGAGAAGATCTCACCAAAAAAATCTTTCTTTCATCAACATAGTTCAAAAACCCTCAATTTCTATTTTTAAAGGGAAAAGAAAATAAACCAACTTTCAAAATCACTCATCTTCTTGAATCAGCAATCAATTTTCAAAACTAATCAAAGGATGATTTCGAAAATCATCTAGATCTTGCAAAAACATATATATAACTCAAAGAAAATCCCTACCTCAAGCTTAGAAGAGAAGACGAGCAAAACAAGGTTGAAACTCCAAAGTTGTCGAAACCAACTTCTACTTCGATCAAAACGAAGCTCTTGATAAACTCTACACTTAATCTCAAAGGAGCAAGGCAAGGAGATGCTTCCAAGAGAGTAGATCTAAAGATCTTTGAGCAAAAAGTGATTTTGGAGAGGGAGAGAGTGCATCACGGCTTGGAGAAAGAAAAAGAGAAGAAAAGGTAAAGAAGATGTTAAGTGAAGGACTTTGTAAAAATTTATGTATTATTGATTGATGTTTATTGATGTTGTTATATTACAAATGGTTCCTTATATAGATGTAGGTGTAGGTGTAGTGGGTTAGGTTTAGTGGAGTAGGTGAGGTGGTAGTGGTGGTAGGTTTATTGATAAATTTTAACAGACTTATTTATAGTGCTAGGTCAAAGTAAAATGAAGTCCCAAAGTCAACCCAAAAGACCAAGTCAAAATCCCGAAAAGGTAGGCCCAAAACGATGTAAAATCTAGAAAAAAAGGTCTGTAGGGGTCGACCCTTTCAACACAGGGGTCGACCCTATGAAGAAACTTATGTTTGACAGCATGCAAGAGGGTCGACCCTCTCCCAAACTGGTGTCTACCCTATTTTCCAGCAACTAACACAAACATAAGAGGGTCGACCCTTTCTAGACTGGTGTCGACCCTATAGAAAACCAGAAGAGGCACTAAAAATTCAAACAGGTATAACTCTCTCGTTCGGACTCCGTTTTAGGTCGTTCTTGTGTCCAAATCGAAGCCTCGGAAACAAGCTTTCCAATGGTTCTAGCCTCACATCCAAATTCAAAGTAAGAAAAAAGAAAAGGGCAAAAGAGTGAAGGCTGGTCAAAAACAAAAACTTAAATTTAGGGCTTTTGATCTAATCTTGCCTAAACACTTTGTTAAGGCTTCAATCAATGTTCCAAACATAACCCAAGAATCCTCAATTATAAAATTTAAAGTTCACTTGCCAACCCATCAATACCAATCTGATATGAATAAGAATCCGAGTCATTACATTTTTCATCAGATGAAATTTTGCTCCACATCACAGTCGAAATTTTTCTCATTACCACTTTCGTTAAACCATGATCTGAGGAGAGCTTACTCGAATGATCTCGCTTTGTCTATTTTCACCTCATTAGTTTCCTTTTGAGTGTTTCTTGATGTTTTTGTCTCCCATTTTTCAAACATTGGCTCATCAGTGGGAGGTGGGTTAATGGTATCAAATCCTTTCTGTCCATCCTCCGACTAATTTTCGGCTATGTTTTCATCTTTTTTGTCAGTTGTGCTTTTGATTTTTTTCGTGCTTCGGATCAAATGATCTTCTTCCTTAGTGGAGTAGCCATGTTCGAACCTTGCCTCTCCAGCACTTAGAGCTTCACTAATGGTCATATTCTAGAGAGAGAAAATTATTAGCAATTCTCACGCACTCCCTCTTTAAAGCATTTCATCAAACAGTTGAAATGCATCACTCACTTTGCCATCGTTACAATACTCATTCATTATAGAATTGTAAGTATAAATGTTAGGAGAAACACCATAGAGCTTCATCTTCTCCCATAAGTCAAACCCATCTTTTTTAAACCATTTTTTGAAAAAACCATTGATCAAAACTGTACAAGTAAATTGATTAGCAACCAAACCCAACTCCCCCATTTCATTGAACAACTTCTTTGCTCTATTAATATCACCACTCTTACAACACCCATCAATCAAAGTAGTGTAGATCATAACGTTTTGACACAACCCAGATCCTCCAATTGAGCTAGAATGTCAAAAGCTCGATTCAGATCACCATTCTCATAACAACCCTTTATCATTATTCCAAAACGATCCACATCCATTGCAACCCTACCCCTCATATCCTTAAAAACCCACCAAGCTTTTTCAAAATTGTTGGACCTAAGAAGACATGCTAAAAAACCATTGAAAGAATTCGATGAGGGCACAAGGCCTTTTTCGATCATTTTAGTGAAATAAAAGAGGGATTGTTCCGGTAACCGAAGTTGAACATAAGTATTGACAATGGATTCGTAGAGAAGAACGTGGTGGGGCTTGAAATCCAAATGGGTTTGTGTTAAATGATTGAGCAGAGATGAAATAGTGAAGGAAGAGGAGGAGATTCGACCGGAGAGAAGTCGGAGGAGGAAAGATTGGGAATGTGAGAGCATTTCAAAGGAGAGAAAGAGGTGGAGGACGAAGGATATGGATTGGTGGGTGTGATCGAAGCCATGCAGTGTTGAGGAGTTAAAGAGTGAGAGAGCTTTGATCGCTGGAATTTTCACTAAATTGGGGATGAGGCTCATGAGAGTGAAAGCTTGGTAGTTTTGTGACATTTTTGAAGGCAGAAAAGAGATTGAGAGCAAGCAAATGAATCTTTTGATTGAAGAAGAAAATGGATATTTGGTGGAAAGTTTCACAACCTTCGGATTTTCTTTTTGGGAACTTGCCCTGTTTTCCTTGAACATGAAATCAGTTTATTTTGGTGGGAAAAAGAGTGTGATTTAGCATTTGGATGAGAAAAAAAAAATTCATTTTGTTTGTTTGGTTTTTAAATTCATAATTCTTTTTCAGATTTTTGTCTTTCATTTTTGGAGAAATAACATATCAGTGGTTTTTTCAAAAAATATTTACATATTCATGAATAAGTACATAATTAATAGGGTGCTCTGCCCATAAATCCAATTTTGGATTTCTTCCGTGTAAAAGTCCACACGCTAAACTACTAAGTCCATAAGGACAGGCGTATGTCCATAAGGACATGCTTATTATCTGTACCAAATTGACGCATCGCCTCTCTCTCTCTCTTTCTTCATAGCACAGTCTCGCAGCCATGGACGGCCTTCCATTGGAGAAGACACAAATCTCGGGACCCACCTTAGGCTCTCTCCTCCAATGCTTCTCTTTCTCTCCCAACGATGTCGATGGCCTCCTCTTCGGCCGCACCACCCACATCGCCCCCTCCACCTTCTCCAACGACCTCTCCACCACCACCACCACCACCACCACCACCACTTCCTCCGACTTCTCTACCCTCATCGCCACCATCAACTCCTTCTTCACTGAAATCCGAGAGATCCACCCCTCCTAGCCTATTTGGACAGAAAATTGAATTTTAGGTTCGTTCACAGTTTAACCTTTGTCCCTGCATGGACTTGAGGGAAAGTGGAAATTTAGCACGTGGTTGATCCACTATTTTTTACACAGATTTATTGGCTTAATCAATAATCAGGTATCTAAGAGTATGAATTCAACTTAGTATAATTCTTAATTCCAGTGCAGAGGCCCAACTGCATAGGCCAAAAACTGAGCTTCCAGAAGTTCAGGGAAGTAAAATCAACATAATACAAGGCAAACATGAGAAGTTTTGTTAATTATCATTACATATAAAGTGTATCTGCCCTTACTTTGATAGGATAATGCATGATTCAATAATAAACAAGAATGAATTCTCAGTGTTGCCCACAAACAGTTTTGCAACTCCAAAGTCAAATATCACAATAGAAACTCAGAATTTTAACGATAGGCAAAAGCTAATGACCATTCTTACTGTGACAAGCATAATAACATTGCATTTCAATGGTTCCCTTGCGCAAGCATAAATTTTGGCATACATGTATATTTGTAGAAATTTAATGTATAAAGAGAAATGATTGTATTATTGATTCATTTATTGAATGTTACAATGATTCCTATATATAGAAGAGTAGGTGGTAGTAGGTGGTAGATGGAGTAGGTAAAGTGGAGGTGGTAGTGGTGTAGTGGGTTAGGTTTAGTGGAGTAGGTGAGGTGATAGTGGTGTAGTGGGTTAGGTTTAGTGGGTGAAGTAGGTGATAGGTTTTAACAGCCCCCCGCAAACTCAAGGGGGATAGGAACTAACCAACTTGAGTTTGGA